CCCAGCCCAGCCTCTCCTTCACATTCCTAGACTTATGAGTTCACTTGTTAGACCAGCCCAGCTTTTCCTTCACACTTCCGTTGTAATAACTGCGAGAAATAGCGGGAGCTCCTAGGGTTTGCTCAAGGGCTTTTAATTTTGTTTTTCCCTTTGCAGTTGCAGAGTTCACCTCCTACCTTTGGAATAGACAGGAGCCTAAGGGCTGGGAGAGAGTCCGTGATCAGGTTCACAGAGTACTGTACTAGTGGGAACATCATTGGAGAGCTGAGCTGCCTGCTTAAGCGTGAAATTGAATACACTGCCATCTGTGAAACTATTTTACAGGCAAGAAACTGGTTCTGTCTATATTGTGGGTTGTTAGTTAATTCTTCCTCAAGTCAGTAAAGGATGCCAGCATGTTTTCTTCCTCTGGGTTCTAATGTCTTAGTTACTCATCCAACCAGCTGTTGTGAAACAGTGCAGACTAGGTGAGAGAAGGGTGGAGCATCCTTGCTGTGGGATCTGGAGGGAAATATTTTAACTATTAAAATATTAAATATTTTAATATTTGACTCTGTCATTTTTTTAATTAAATGAGAAAATAGCTAACTTTTGATTTTATGAAGATAAGGAAAATGCATATGCAAAGTTTAAGGTGCTCAATAAATGGCCCCAAAATGAGAGCAGTGTTTTTAAAGAATGTTTGTTTTCCAATTCTCTTTCTTCCGCTTTTCACTTGCTAGATAAGACGTTTATTTAACAAATAAGTGGCCAGCTCTGGGGGGATTCAAATGGAAATGAGCCCAAGTTCCCACTTACAAGGAATTCTCAAGCTTTGGGAGCTGTTAGATGCACTAGAGCAGGGTCCAGAGTGTGACAAACAGAAGCGAATGTTGCTTTGTGAGTTTCATACCATTTCGTTTTTGGAAGAGGATAGAGGCGTAAATGTATTCGCAAAGCTGAATTAATTTCATTGAAGTTCAGATAGGTTGACTTCTGAAGGAATCGTCTTCCTTATTCAGATTATCACTTTGCTCTGAAAACAAATACTGTGAATGAGCCCACTTTACCTACTGCGGCAATAAAAATAGCTAAGTTTATGTGGCTTAGTTCCTTAATCTTGGGCTCATGAGCCATATCCTTTATCATGACTATTGATTGGTATAAATTTTCCTGGCCTGTTATTAAGTCTGTAGCTTTAATTGGGCTGTACATTTTATCCTCTTATACTTAAATGGTAGAGTGTCGTAATTACCATACTCAAGTTGATAGTTTTTCTAGGAGGTTAGGTAGAGATGAAATCTATAGGCATCTTTTTCAGACAATCTTGTAATTTTGTTTCAAATCAAGCTTACTGCTTGAAACCTTGTCATTTCAGGCCTGCTTTATCTCCTTGGAGGATTTATACGAAGGCTTTGATGTCTTCTGGCCATCCCTGGAATATAAAATATGGCTAAAGCTTGCTCTCAGTATTGCCTGTCAGTATTTTGAATCAGCTCTTGCTGACGAGGTGAGTTGCATGGTTAAAATATGAACGAAATTTTATTTACTGTATTGTTACAAAATGCATTTCATATTTTGGAGACAAAGACAGAAAGGAAAGTTGTGTTTGATTTTTTTTAAGTAGGATTCCAGGATTTTTACCTCTTATCCTGACTTCCTGTAGGTCATCAGTCCCTTTGTGACAGCTAATTTTCCCAGGCTACCTGCAGTCATCCCTTAAAAATAATAGATTCAGCAAATCTTGAATAGGTAGATCCCCAAGAATCAAGCATAGTACTAATTAGAACGAGTTAATGAGCATTCAGTCTGGTGTTTATTATAGTCTACTCTGCTACCTACGTTAATATAAATTTCCTGCCTTTTCAAATTTTTATTGAGTTTACTGAACCTCATCTATGAACTTTATCTCAAAAAAGTAGTGGTTCAAGTCTGTTTTTGAACTGGCACAGTTTACAAGCCCATCGTTACATCCCATTTAATAATTATTTGAACCCCTATCATGAGTCTGGAACCGGGGAAGAGACAGACCTGAAGTTCAACAGTATTTGTTGAATTGTGAGACTGAATATAAATATTGAGTTAAACAATTAGCATGTCTTGAGAGCATAAGAAGACAAGCCACAGACTGGGAGAAAGTATTTGCAAAAGAGACACCAGATAAAGAACTATTATCCAAAACAAAGAACTTTTAAAACTCAACAACAGGAAAACAACCTGATTTTAAAAAATGGGCCAAAAATCATAACAGACACTTCACCAAAGGAGCTATTACTAAACATGTGGAAAGATGCTCCACATCATATGTCATCAGGGAAATGCAAATTAAAACAACAATATGATAATCACTACACATCTATTAATTAGCCAATATTTGTAACACTGATACCACCACATGCTGGCAAGGGTGTGGAGCAATAGGAACTTTTATTCATTGCTAGTGAGAATGCAAAATTGTATAGCTACTTTGGAAGACAATTTGCTGTTTTCTTACAAAACTAACATATTTTTGCCATGTGAACTAGCAATCATTCACTTTGATATTTACCCAAAGGAGCTGAAAACTTATGTCAATGCATAAAACTACACACAGATGTTTATAGAAGCTTTAATCATAATTGCCAAAACTTGGAAGCAACCAACCAAGATGTCCTTCAGTGGATGAATGGATACATAAACTGTGGTACATTCAGATAATGGAATACTATTCGGTGCTAAAAAAAAAAAAAAGAGAGAGAGAGAGCTATCAAGCCATGAAAAGACTTGGAAGAAACTTAAATGCATATTGCTAAAGTGAAAGATGCCAATGATAGGACATTCTAGAGAAGGCAAAACCGTGAAGACAATGAAAAGATCAGTGGTTGCTGGAAGCTGGGGTGAGGAATGGTGAACAGGTAGAGCTCAAAGGATTTTTAGGGCAATGAAAATACTCTTTGGTACATGTATGATGGATACCTGTCATGATACATTTGTCTACACCCATAGGATATGCAACACCAAGAGTAAACTCTAAACTATGGACTTTGGGTATTAATGATGTGTCACTGTAGGTCACTGATTGTAATAAATGTACCACTCTGGTGGAGAATGTTGATAATGGGTGAGGCTCTGCATGTATAAGGGCAGAGGGTATATGAGAAATCTCTGTACTCTCCTCTCAGATTTGCTGTGAACCCAAAACTACTCTTAAACTTTGTCTTAAAACATTAGCATGTCATGCTAAGGCAGTCGTGTTTCTTTCACTGCATGGCAGTAATTTTCAGAAAAATTTTAGCAGAAGGGTAAGATTTAGATTCTTTTCTTCCTTTTGCTTTGCCTCTTCATGAGAATTAGGACAAGTTTAGAGTCTAGTGTGAAACTCCAGAGGAGAGGATGAGGACCAATAGGTTGAAACTCTGTGGAGTCAGAGTTGACTCAATAGTAAGGTGAATGTCCTTTTTGTTTTTCTAAATTCACAAGCAACACATATTCATAATATAAATTTTAAAATATGTTACGAAACCTAAGAAAATAATAACTTTCTACCCCAATTTTACTCCCCAGAGAATCTCTATTTAACACATTAGTTTATTTCCATCTAGTTTTTTTCCGTTAAAGAATTAACCAACTAAGACTTTTTAGAACATCCAGGCACCAAGATTATACTGTATCCTCTCCTCTAGACCATAAAACTCAAAATTTACATGCGTTTGAAAACCACAATAGCTTTTAAAAAGGCTTTTTTGGTTGTAAAGTTCTAGAGAAGTTTGCTAATTAATTTTCTTATGGTTTTGATGCCCCAGCTATGCTGATGCCCTGAACAATTAAGTGTTTGATTTGCCTGTCAGGGACCAAGATCTGAGGCCTGGGTCATGTCGCTGTGCATTTCCTGTGCCTGGAGATATTCAGAGTGAGCTGATGGCCCCCGTCAGGACACTGTCCAGGAGATTTCCACTGCTTGGCTGACCTCTAAGCTCCTGTATTAGTTTGCTGGGGCTTCCGTAACAAACTACTACCAACTGGGTGGCTTACACAACAGAAATTATTGTCTCACTGTTGTCAATGCTAGAAATCTGAGATCAAGGAGCTGGCAGGGTTGGTTCCTGCTGAGGGCTGTGAAGGAGAATGTGGTCTAGGCCTCCCTCCTTGGCTTGTAGATGGAAGTCTTCATCTTCACATGGCATTCTCCCTGATTGCATGTCTGTGTCCAAATTTCCCCTTTTCATAAGGACAAACTGTCATATTGGATTAGGTGCCCATCCTACTCCAGTTTGACCTCATCTTATTTTAAACAGTTACATCTGCAATGACCCTGTTTCCAAATAAGGTCACAGTCTGAGGTACTGAGGCTTAGGGCTTCAATATGAGAATTTTGGAGGGACACAATTCAGTCTATGAGAGCTCTCTTCCAGGTCTAAAGTCTATAATTCTGAACCTCGAAGTATGCTTAAGACTCAGTGCCTTGCTTGTTTCGTTTGTTTCTTTGTTTCTTTGTTTGTTTTTTGTTTGTTCCCTTGTCAACTGGGACGTTTGCTTACTGCTAGGCAAAACCTATGCATCTTTAGGACTCTGGTTCTTGTGTGAATAGAAATCCAGGAGGCATAGCAGACTGCCCTGCTGTGGCTCATTGAGCTCAGGCAATCCCATAAGTCAGGTCTGGGCAACCACATTCAGGGCCACTAGACAGTAGCAATATAAACATTCTAAATTCAGAATCTTTTCAGAACCCATTCTGAACTCCAAATAAACTCTGTCTGTTGGTCCCAGGGTCCATTTGCCTTTTGGCACCCTCAAAGAACTCAGCTAAATCAATGAACTTGCTTTCTTCTCTTCTTTTTTTAACTTTTAATCTTCCTTTTATTTCACTAATTCTCTTTTAAATTGAAATATAGTTGATGTACAACATTATGTTAGTTTCAGATCTACAACATAATGATTTGACATTTGCATACCTAATGAAATGATCACCATGATAAGTCTGATAACTTTCTGCCCCAAAGTTATTTCAGTATTATTGGCCACATTCCTTATGCTGTATATTACCTTCCCGTGACTTTATTATGTGACTAGAGGTTTGTAAGTCTTATCCTCTTCACCTGTTTCACCCAACCTCCCACCCTTCTCCTCTCTGGCAACCACTGGTTTGCTGTTTCTGTAAATCTGTTTTTGTTTTTATTTGTTCATTTGTTTTGTTTTTTAGATTATTGCACATATAAGTGAGATCATATGGCATTAGTCTTTCTGTCTGCCTTATTCCACTTAGCCTAATACTCTACTCTCTTGATTCATCCAGGTTGTCACAAATGGCAAGATTTCATTCCTTTTTATGGCTTAGTAGTATTGCATTGTATGTATATCTATATATCTGTATCTATATCTATATATCGCATCTCCTTTATCCATTTATCTATCAGTGGACACTTAGGTTGTTTCCATATCTTGGCTACTATAAATGATACTGCAGTGAGCATAGGGTTGCATGTATCCTTTTGAATCAGTGTTTTTGTTTTCTTTAGATAAATGCTCAGAAGTGGGGTGGCTGGATCATATGGTAGTTCTATTTTTAATTTTTTGAGAAACCTCCATACTGTTTTCCACAGTGGCTGCACCAATTTATATTCCCACCAACAGTGCATGAGGGTTCAGGGTTCCTTTCTCTCCACATCCTTGCCAGCACTTGTTATTTTCTATTGTTTTAAGTAGCCATTCTAATGAGTGTGAGCTGGTTTGCATTTGTCTGATGGTGAATGATATTGAGCATCTTTTCACGTGGAATTTGCTTTCTTCTTGATATCATGTATCATAGTATCTGATTTATCGGAAAATAATGTAATTTTATTTTAGGACCTAAAGTTTCAAAAGTGTGTGGCGCTCAATCATGTGTATGTGGAGACTTTATCGAGCTATAACGAAATGACCATTGATAATGTGACCATGAAATTTGTTATTATTGTGTACGGCAGTGTTATTGATACTAAGACGGAGGCACCATACCTTGCACCTTGCATTTTACCTAAAACCTGTGAACAGGTAAGGAGGATCATTTCTAGACAGTCATTTGCTTTTCATGGTGCCCCAGAAGTGGCTTTAAAACTCAACTGTCCATCTTAAAAAGAAATTTAACCTAGAAAGACCCCACCATTCTTACCTGCCCTTAACAAAACAATCAGAATGTACCCAGGGCTTCTGTGTGCTGTTGTGCAGGGTGTGCCCTGCACAAGAGTGTGACTGAGGGACAAGTGGACCAGGAATCTACTTGCTGTCTGTTTGCCAAGCCGTTCGCCCTGGCATGGGGCTGTGCCTCCCCCAGGGAAGGATGGAGTGCGTTTTCCCTAGTTCATGCCAAGGCAACGACCCCGACTGCTAGTATACCTCTGGAAGTATCTGCACTGGTTGATAAGAAGGGAGATGAATTGGGGCTATGTCACTTTGTTGCCACATTAGTGTCTGTGGGCACAGCTTGATAGAGGGCCCAGGGCCTCATCATTTCACGCCTCTGTCAGGAAGGCGGAAGTGTGAACACCTAGGACTTAACGGGAGATGGGAAGAGTAGAAGCAAGGTTCCTAATGGGCCAAGCAACCTGTCATAGGACCACAGGGAAGAGCCCAGGAACGGGGAGGGCCAAGAGCTTATGAGAAGAGCTGGCATCTCTTTAATCTGGTAACACGTTTCTCCCCTTTGTGAGCGACCCTTTCTGCTTGTTCAGGCTGGGAAAGGTCATTAATTTAATGAAAATTTATGTCCCAGAAAAGTCGGTAACCCTCCTAAAAAGTGCATTTGCCCCTTTCGTAACATTCTTATTTTGTCATCCTCTGAACAATTCAGAGGATGAAGGTTTTTTTAACTGTGTGTGTGTGTGTTTTAACAGAAAATGAAAATCACTTTAGCTTTGAAACAAGGGGTGGGGGACAGTGGGAGCAACCCCACAGTTTAGCTTGTTAAGACACCAGGGTTTGAGGTCAGGCATGCTTGGATTTAAAACCTGACCCCTGTGCCCACGAGGTGTGTGAGCGGAGGTGGCTGCCTTCTGACCCTCAGTTTCCTGTTAGTTAGATGAGGGTAGTAGTTTCAGCCATTTCACAAGGTTATTGTGGGGATTAAATGGGATAGTATGTGATCATATCGAGAGAATATCTAGAAATGGTCGTTATAATTGTTACTTATGTATGCCACTTGCATTGTGGCACATGGGGCAAAAGCTCAAGAGCTTTTAATATTTTCCCCTCTGGGAAGGCTGGGCCCCGAGCCCTTGAATGTCACTGTTAGAGTAAAAGTAACTCAATGGACGCTGGGGATTCCATTTTCCACACTGGATACAAGCAAGGTGTACAGACTTCCTTTCTGATGTCTATAAATATGTAAAAGATAATTTGCTGGTTCAAGACTTCTTGAAACCACGTTAAAGAGGATTTGAAATGAAAAAGGTAGAGCTTAGGTTGGATACCCAGTCCTAGGTTTTGGTTTATTTCTTATATTCTTTTGGAAAGGTGAGGAAGCAGCCGGCTTAGAGATCAAAGCATGCTCTTTTGGCTAATTTTGACTTTTCTCCTTTAGGTGCAGGGAACTTCAGATTTAAGCAAGCTGCTGGTTATCCTAGCATCCAAGCCTGTCAAAAATAGTAGCTCCAAGGTCATGGGTAAGGGGTAGCCCTTTAGTGGTAGGAAAACCATTGAGAAGGAATTCTGGTACATGTAAGATTCAATTCATTCTAAGAAAATGATTTGAGGGCATCGTGCAGGTTTATCTTCCGTCCCCCTTCTTGGACCCACCCTGGCTGCCACATTGCCTCTGGGAGGTCGCAGATCAGAGACTTCCAGACACTGAGATGCCGGTGGCTCTTCCTCTCTCATGTCCTTCCCTCCACACCCTTGTTGGCGGGTAGCAGCTTCTACCTTGTACTCTGATCCTATTGGCTGGAGCCTTGTGGTGCTGTTGTGGGAGGAGCAGGAATAGGGAGGGGACAGACTCACACAGCAGCCCCAGGTGTGGGAGCTGGTTTTCTGTCAGCAGCCAAAGGGAATATAGAACCTGACTGATGCTCATTAATGTTCCAAACCATGGTCACGGCCACAACTCAAATGACTTGCTTTGAGGTGTACGTTAATAGTCACTACGTAATTATTGTCACTAAATGTGTATTAGCACCCAACTGCTTGTGCTATGGTGCTAAGCATTATATAAAGAAGACCAGATAGGAAGTCCTCGCCCTAGGGAAAATACTTTCAAGGTCTTTCATACAGTGCTCAGCATCCCTGCCTTATCAAGCCCAGTGTCACCATTTTCCCAGCTGCCCCAGCTTGAAAAGAGAATCATCCTTGATTTGCTCTGTCCCAGTGTTTACAATTCCTGTGACCTGCTAGCTTACACATCCTTAATGAATTGCTAATTTGTGGGGAAGGGGTTTTACATGATTTCAAACTGTGCATAAAGTGACCTTTTAGCAATAGTTTATACCTTATTATTTCTCATTGGCATAATCCATATAAATTGCAACCCCACAATGTGCTGGGCACTAGTTGGTGAGTGAGCCAAACCTGGTCTCCACTCTCATGGGGAGGAGAGACAGGCATCCAGTGAGTAATTCCACTTCTCCCCAAGAAGCAAGTTCAACCTCAGACATTCTTACAGCTCACTTCCATGTCCTGTTCTGGGATCACATGTGGCACCATGATTTGGGGAGCTCTCTCTGCTTCTGGGTCTCCCGTCCAAGCTGACTAACACTGAGATGACCATGACTCCAAACTTCACAGTGTCTTTAGGTCTGCCACTCTGTGGCTTCCACAGCCCTCTTGGGGCACAGGAGTTATGGGAAGGCTGGGAGCTCAGGGTCTAGTGTCAGCCCCCTTGGGGAACCCTGAGGGCCACTGAGTCAGAGATGGCTTTAGAGTCAGGGACATAGATGACTCTGCATTCCCCAGTGAGTTTGGGACAAGAGTCACAAATGGTAGGCCTGTGCACTTGATCCAGCTGGTACACTGGATTTGGCCCACATACACATTTTCTTTTAAAATTATCAAGTATAAACATCCAGAAATTTCATATTTAAAAAAAAATTTCAGATTTTGAGCTTTTCTTGAGAAAATCAGAACATCTGCCAACACTCGGTCCTCATATCTGTGTGTGGCAACCATCAGGTAGAGCTGAGCATCGCTGGCTCCCGTAGGGGAAGCAGATGCTCTACAGTTTGCCGCAGTCCACGCCGCTCCCTGTTGTGTTGTATGGCCCACTTTGTCTGTGGGACCTGCCTGTTCTCAGTCGGGTTTGCCAGACCTTGTATTGGACTCTTGGGAACCTAGTAACAAACCTCCTTGGGGTAAAAAAGTAAAGGTCCCATTTGGAAAGGGAGAAGGGAAAAGGGAGACTTGCAGGGAGGAAGTAAATTGGGATTTCATAATATCCTCCTGCTACCTACACTCTTAAATTCCTAATTTAGTTGTTTTCTGTTTAATGAACTTCTTTGGATTGGCTCAGTTGACACCGGTCTTCAAATGACCAGGAGAGAATATCACTGGAAGAGAAAAGACGAGGTAATAACTTGCCACTTTGATTAGATCTTTCTTATTGTGAGTATTAAACTACATAGCAAAAATAAATTGTGAAGTCAAGTAGCAACAATGTAGGTGGTAAGAAAAGAGACTCTTAGTGGCAGCTCATTAATATGGAAAAATTGGGATTAAAGCTGATGACCTTAATGACTTAACAATTAAAATTATAGAATATTTTTGAAAAATGTTATTTTGCCCCCCCCCCCAATTCCGCCTCTCCTAACCCCCTTCCCCTGATATTTTGTTCCAAAATAGGGATCTCTGGGATTAGGGAAGGGAGGGACATTTGTCCTTCAACGGTTTGACACAAGCGCTTAAGTGTGAAAGCTTCTCTCTTTGGAGTGTGTGTTCCCAGGGATGTGCGGGTGCTCTGGTTGGGGTATGTGATGCACAGGCTGATCGCTGGCATTTTCCTAGGGTCCCAGTTCTACTTGACAGTCTTTTAAAGGGAGAAGTTGACTCATTTTACTGTTATGTTATTTAAAATGTTTCATAATGAAACAAACATATTATGGAGAATTGCATGAACTAAAAAGATAAACCAAGAGACTTTAAAACACTTTATTATGGCGACTCACTTAGGTTTTGCCCTGACATCTTTCCTACTTTCCTCAGCAATCAGGGCTAATTTAGAAAAGTGTGAGAAGTGCTGGAAGCCACGCCTGGAGTTGGGCAGGGAGAAGGGCTGGTCACATTGGGCCAGGACAGATTAGAGGCAGGTCTGTTGGGGAGGAGGGTAGTCGGCAAAGCTTACTACTCCAAGGGTCTCTGACAGGACCACTAACAGAGTTCATTTGGGCCAGAGCCCACTGCTGAGTGGAGCAGCGGAGGGCAGTTCTGACAGAGGAATAGGGCCCTAGGCAAATGCAGAAGTGGGCCAGGTAGCAGTGATGGTGCCAAAAATGGGCTTCTGGGGCCTTCGGCATGCTCCCTCACCCCAAATAAACATGCCTTCTAAGGAGAAATGATGTGCTGTGTAAGTGCAGCCTCACGAGAAGCCCCTTGGCCCAACCAGATAGCCACCCTGAGACTCTTCTGATGGCAATTCTGGTCTTGCCACGGTCATTTATGACAATCAAGGTGGTTTGCCCTGTGCTCGTTGGGGGAAGGACGGTTGCATCAACCAAACTTACTGGTTATTAGTTCCTTTTTAGGCAGTTTTCCTAGGGTCATCCTCTCCTCTTTCTTAAAGGGACCCTATTTCACAAATGGGAAACCTAACTGGGGGTCTAATAGTTGGGTTTCTCATTTGCTACTGTCTTTTCCAGGTCCCAGTATTTTAAAAAATTCTCATTCCAATTTAGGGAAAGAAAAAAATTTCCAGTTACCTTGAAAGCAGTCACAGAGTTAGCTGGAATGCAACTCCCCTAACATTTCTGTTAAGTGCACCTTTGATAAGACTACTCTAACTGAATGAATGTATCCCTTTACAAGATGACATTTGATGGTCTAGAGATGCACAAATACTTACTCAAAGTCCGTAATATGTGGGATCTTTTAAAGGGAGTGTTTCCGGATCACGGAATGGAAACTTTTCAGTAAGTTTTCTGATTGCACTGAAGTTTTATTCTGAAATGCTCATAGTCTAATATTTTACTTTTGACCTTTTTTTGTAGCTGGAAACTGGATCCCATTTTAGAAAAGGATATTAATGGCACGAATGTGATACGTGGAGTCAGGTTAAAGACCAAGATAACGCCCTGACTCAAGTGCTGAAAGATTATCTGGCAAGGAGTTTACTTACAAGTTGCTAAAACAAATGACTGCTGCATTTATTTTACAAGCAATTGATGGACTGCTGCAAAAGCTCTAATTTTAAGTAGTTGCATTATTCTTGAAATGTTCAAAATTCTTCAGGATAAGACATCCTAAAACTTATGGCCTAGCGAATGAAATCCTGCCCCCAGCTGAGAGCAAGTTGTAATAGATCACAAATTATCAAAAGCATTGTACAATTAATGTATTACTGTCTAAAGCATAGGATCTATAGTTTTGATTTGTGATGTTGCTACAATTAATGTCTCCCTAACGTTTTCCAGAGTAAAGTTATTTCGCCCATCCCCAATTTAGTAAACACTGAAAAATGGAACTGTGTTCCATAATCTTAGTTACTGAAAGCAAAGTTTAGGAGGAAATCTGGCAATCTTCCATTGCACAGTACAGTTTGATAACACTTTTCATTTTATTTTAAAACGTCAAATAAAATTGAATTTTATGGTCTGATTGTCTATTGTTTAGAACCCATTATTCCTTTTCCTTTCCACAAGATTTTAAAAGAATACCTGTTGTGGGCACAGCAGGGCCGTCCATGACATGGTGACGCGCTGGTTCGGTAAGAGAATTTACCCAAGTATGGGGAAAGAAAGGAGGTTATTAGGCTATGCTCCCATAGACAAGAGCCGGCCACACAGACGAGAGGGCCGGTTTTATAAGGTGAGGTCACAAGGTGCCTGATCGGCTTGTGCACAAGTCTCTAATTGGTTATAGGTGAGGCAAGAGGTTTAGGGTCCGTGAAGGGCAGTGGGGTCTATGGCTCTGATAAGGTGGGCTGCGACAAGCCAGCCTGTGAGGTTGTGAGATTAGGCACTACCTGGGGCTATTAGTTTGCCAGTAGAGAACGTCAGACATCTGAGAGCCCAGGAATGGGGGTCGTTGGACTATGAAGGACGTCAGTTGGCTCAACAATACCAGACCGTCTACTCCAGGGAAAACTGTAATAGGAGTAAGAATAGAAGGAAACACAAGAGAAAAAGTTAAGCCTATTAAGAACCTTCAGGATACCTAGAACAGGGCAGTATTTTTCAGCATGGCCAGCGGAACACCTGTGTGTCAACAAATGTCTGGTGTGGCTGCACGTGGCGGAACCATAGGACAGTCCAGTGACTTGAGGAAGGTATCGTAGACCCAGGCTCCTTTCAGCCTCCTTCTCCTTCATCCTTGGCCTATGATTTTTATCCTCATACTGGCAAAGTGACATCTGTAACGCCAGGCATTCTTTCTTTCTCTCTTTCTTTTCCTTCCTTCCTTCCTTCCTTCCT